AATGTGAGTGCACTCTCTTTTACACACACACACACACACACACACACAAAACACAGAGAGAGAGAGAGAGAGAGAGAGAGAGAAGCAGGGAAGCGCAATTGCCTCTCTCTGTCTCTGTCTCTCTCTGCAAAGGCAGAGGAGGCTGGGAGCCACAGGGGAAGGCTCAAAGAGCCGCATGCGGCTCCGGAGCCGCAGGTTGCCGACCTGTGGCCTAGGCAATCGAGCCATGCTTTCATTCTTCTTCTCCCCTCTACCCACAGCGTCAGGCTGCAGGCTCCTCATGCTGGATCTTCCACACTCTCCACAGTTGTTGTTAAGTTCTGGGGGTGGGGGTCTATCATGATGATATTGGGGGAGGGGGAGGTCTTCCATCGGTGGATGATTACGTGTGCTTGACAGTGGTAGCCTCCTCAGACGTTCATTAGAGACAGTGGTAGCCTCCTCAGACGTTCATTAGAGTGGTATTGGTGTTGATCGGGCGAAACTGGGGTGTCCCTGGAGTGTAGAGGGTTGGCCAAAGTTCCATCTATCTGTTCAGGATGGAGGCCAGGTATCCCGTCACGTTTACAGCTGTGCAAGCATTGTTCAGGCCGCTTATAATAATTGGCATGGTGTTTAAAATCCCATTTCCTCAATGCTTGTTGAGCTGGATGTAAGTCAATGTGACGATTAACCGCATCTTTGTTGGAATACCACGCCTCTTTCAATAGCCGGCCTCCCTTAGTGCATCCTCAGACATAATGCAAACATTCACAAAGTCAAACTGGTGGCCATGTTGTGCCATATGCATCCACAATTGAGAATGCTGCTCGCCCCTTCTTATAGCTAACTGATGTTCATTCAAGCGAGATCTTAAACGCTTAGCTGTTTCACCCACATAGTTGCCATCGCAGTTCTTGCAATTGATTTTATAGATTACTGCTGATCTATCCATGGCAGGGAGTGGGTCCTTGGGGCGAACGACTTTGGACCGTAATGTCCAAAGTCGTTATATATATATATGTTTTCTGAGGTTTTCGCGGGTATCTGTATGCAGGTCTTTGGTTGTTCGGGTTTTCTCCCGCGTAAAATTGGAAGTATCTTGGCGACGCTTCGACAAAGTCCCATTCGTCATCTTCCCGAACCCGAACAACCAAAGACCTGCATATTCCAACATGCAAAACTGTTTACATATGCAACTATATGTCTCTTCCCAATATCCTGACACCTCTATTTTGAGGAATCTGTATTTGCAGCCACAGATTACTGTTCAGAGCCTTTATGTTCCATTGGAATACATATCTTGCCCAGCTGTTTTCACCAGGATTTCACTAGCTCTACTTTCTTTCTATAGTGAATCCACTTGTCCAAAAGGACTTTCCGCTTGATCTTTTTTCCATTAACTATCCTTGTCTCACTAATTTCCAGTCTTCCCACAGCACAATGCTGGTATAAATATGAGGCAAAATTGGGTGGGGTGGGAGGAATGTACATATTGTAGAACTATTGTGAGAAAATAATTTCATGCTCTATTTACCATTCACAAGTGCTCAGTGGAGTGTTCCATTTGCATTCTCTGCAACACACATCGCAAATAAATTTGATTATTGCTGTTTGGAAGCATGAAGTCAGGTAGCATTAGCAAAATTACACACACTGGCTCTCATAATTGCTCTCTTTGTACAGCAGTGGCAAAGTCTGTCCTTGCAGAGCTGATAGCATTCCTATTGTTGGTATGATTCAGCTGATGGAAATGACTGCTTTTTTGCCCAGTCCCCAGACCAGATGTTTTGTCTTTCCAATGACAAACAAAAGGTGACAATAGCTTTTTAATACCAAACAGGGTCTACACTTATACAAAGGAGCGTGCTTGACAAATACTCTGTGAGTTAATCTTAAAACTATTCAGAAGGATCAGCCTCCCTGATGTTCAGTCCAGCTTCTAGCATGAGAAGTTCTGTTTATTCACTGGTTGGAACAAAAAGACCTGTAAAGTGGTTTCAGTTCGATCAGTTACCTGTGGCTCAAGATTGTACAACCATACTTAGAACATTCATCACACAGTCAACCAGATGTTCAGACTGGATTTGGCATATTTGTCCACCTATCAAATTCTTCCCAAGGTCCTGAGATAGGCAAATGTGGATGGGGTTATAAATATCGTCACAGAATGTAATCTGTTCTGAATAAAGGCATCTTTTGCAATTGACTGATGGTGACTTTGTCAGTGTTGATAGTGTTCAAGTGGTGCTCCAGATGTTTTGGGATAGCACCAAAGGCACCTATTACTATTGGCACTATCTTTGCTTTCCTTTGCCACAGTTGTTCTATTTGCAGGTCTTTATATGATGTAATCTTCTTTCTCTTTTATTCTGCTTATTATATTATCCTGGACTTTTTATTACCAAAATGGAAAAAGGACACTCTAAAAATTTAGCAGTGCAGTTGGGAGATTTTGGAGGGCTCACAGAGAGTGGGAGTTACATGTTTTAGGGTTATGGTTCATAAAATAAAAAATTGAAGTAATTATTGATATTTACATGGCCCACTTAGCCTCACTCGGCTGATCTCAGAAAAAAACAAAACACCAAGTAGGCTTGGATCTGGTTGTTTCTTGGATAGAAGACCACAAGGAGAGCCTATAGCTATAGAGTAGGCTGGAAGGAAACAAGAAAAATCCTAGAAGAGAGCAATGGCACATCCCTTCTATAATGTTGCCAAAAGAATGACATATTATAGTACACAAAGTCACCAGGAATAAAACTCAACTTGAGTGAGAATTAATTTTACCTCAGAACAAAAACATGCGTTTGAGAGAAGTGGGACCAATAGTGCAGCTCTGAGTTTTTTGGCTTCAAAAGATACATGAAGAATGGGTGATTTTTAATGGGGAGGAAGAGCTTATAGTGGGGGAAAAAATGGAAAAATAGAATAGTCCTTCCACTAAATTTCACTCCAAACCCATGATAACAAACACATGGATAAAGTTCTCTGAGGTGGAGATAATTTATAGGTACAAGCTCCCATTTATTGCCTTAAAGAAATAAACTCACTTAGTGGGTGAGTCCCTTATAATAAGCTATTAAAGAGGTTCAATAGGTTCAATCCCAAATAAGCTGCTCATTAAGAGAACAGATTTACCTGAGGGAAAAGGTTGCGTTTGAAAATCCTTATCAATAATGAACATTATCTGGGAAATGTGCATTTCAACCATTTATCCCACCAAGGAAGTTTGACTCGCCCTGACAACAAATCTGCATATTTTAGATTCGCCAGAGCTTGAATATGCAAATTAAAAGAATGTATTAATTATCATTAGGCCTTCCTTCACAAAAACACTAGACCTAATTAGAGAAATAATTTGGGAAAATTGAACTACATGACAGGAAAAAGAAAATAAGATTCATCAAGTTTCAATTCTCTAATTCTGTCAGCTTGTCAAAAATAGGAGTCTGTTATTAGCACTGGAAAATAGTTTCTCTCTTTCTTCCCCTTAACTATAATTTAAATCCTCTTTAAATAATTGCTTTCAAAACTTGGGAGGGTCTTCTTTTTGTTTTCAGTAGTTAAAGAGGTTATTCTAAGTATCAAAAATAAAACTATCCTAAAAAGTTTCCCTGGATGCCATTCCAGAACTGAAAGCACTTTTTTGAGACTTTGCATAATTCTATTCAGAAAGCTCAACATGGCTGCCCATATTTTCAGAATGCCCATAACATGCTTGAAAAATGCCACAGATCCTGCTTTAAAGCATGCTACCCAAGAATTTTGCATGAACAAATAATGCCTTGGATCCATAATTACCCTTCAAGAAATGGAAGGCCGTCTACCATTCACAGAAGACAGACCCAAGCCAAGATGACAGTGAAAATCCAGTCAAGTTCTAGTCTTTGTTTAAACCAGTGTTCTCCAACTTTAGCAATTTTTAACACTTGTGGACTTTTAACTCTCAGAATTCTTCAGCCAATCATGCTGGCTAATACACAGAATTTTGCCAAACTAACACTATTTAGAATCACTTTGGCTTGGTGGTTAAAGCACCAGGCTAGAAACTGACAGGCGGCGAGTTCTAGTCCCCCCCCCCCAGATATGAAAACCAGCTGGGTGACTTTGGGCCAGTCACAGGATTGTTGTTCTGAGGGAAATAGGAGGGCGTATTAGGTATGCTGGCTGCCTTGAGGTATTTATAAAAACAAGGTGGTGGTAGATAATATAGATATATATGTTTATGTACATGTATACACACACTCACATACACAACTGAATCTTCCTTTTTGAGGAGGGAGCAGCTGCTGCTCTTTATAATAAAAGGGTCTCTTCCTGCAGGCACAGAAAGAAGCATGGAAATAAAACCTTTTCCTAACACCTGAGTGAAATTTTGTCAATCTTTTATTTTCTGCAACCTATAGCAAATCATGTGATGAAATCAGTGGCTGGTTCATAAGATTCTGTCCCAGCTTGCTTTAGATTATCTTTATGCTGAAAATTTTACCATAAATAAAAAAAAAAACACAGCAATGGTGACTGTCTATGGAGATTCTCAGTCCAGTTGCCTTGTGAAAAAGCATCTTTGGGACAGCAATGATGACCTAATTCCTTTAGAAGGAAATTCCACTAACTGGAAGTTAACTGTGAAGAAATTGTCATGAATAGGCTGGGTTTTTTTTCTTCTGAAATTAAAAAAAAAAAAACACAGCACAAACAGGAAAGTAAAATATTGCATCTTCTGGAAAGGTTTCTCTAACTTGAAACAACATGATGAGTACAACCTCTATAAAGTTGTGCCCATTTTATCTCTCTTAAGGGAGTCTGAATTATAGCAAAGTCAATATCCCAAAGACATCAATGTGCACATATTTCTTTATAAGTAACAACTTTATTGTAACTTGATGTCCTGAAATGCAAAAATATTTTCAGCAACAAGGTACAAAAAGTATCTCACTGAAGTATTTCACTGTTAACATCAGGCAGATATAAAAGGCTGGATGGTTTGATGCAAGTGTCTTAACATGATAGGTAATGTGGATAATTTCCAATTAAGCACAGGCTTGAATTCTTTCAATCTTTCAATTCTAAAACAGGACTCAAAAATATACCTTCATTGGGACATATCAAAATCCAGCATAAACTAGACTACAAGAGCATGATAAACGCAACCACAACAAACACTGATAAAAATAATGTGCATCCATTTCAGAAATAGTCCACTTGCTGCAAGCAAAACAGCAAGAAAATCAACGCAACTGTACTATGTGCTGAAACTAATGAGAGTCCATAGGAAGGATTCTGATCAATCCAGTCAATAAAAATTAAATTTGGGCTACACATCAATTGGTTTAAGAAATCTTTTATAGCCTTAAAACCAAGCATGCCCCACTAGTTATCCTAATATCTTCTGTAGGAATTAGACAAAAATGTCTATCTTTGAACGTGAAGGAACTCCTTCATAATAGAGCCATCAGTGCCTTGCCAATTACTCTCAAATAGCCATTACTGATCACATTGCCATACTTAAATCAAGGAATTACAAAACAAAAGCAGCAACGCATACCTTAGCTATGCCTCATCTTAATAATCCCCTTTCTAGGATATCCAGAGCTGTTTTCAACCTGCAATTGGTTACAAGAGATAAGTGTGTCTTTAAAAAAATATTTGGCATGTCCAGTTTTTGAAATGAACAACTGTGATGAGCAGGTCAGAAACAATGTTCATGATTTCTATATCAGTCTTTCTGTCTAGATTTTTCTCCCATAACTTTCCATTTTTTTTTTCATTTCATCAGCTTGCATTTCAAAAAGCCACCGGCCACTATATGTCAGCGTGCAGTAAATGGACTGCCAAAATCTAGATGAGTTACTGAGGCTTCCTTCATTGAAAAACATCGACATAAGTAATGTAAATGGTAACTCTATCATTTTTAGCAGAAATCCAAGTCCCATGTTTCAGAAAACAAATCTTACAAAACTCATACACCATAACACAACACATGCAGGCTGCTCTCTTTGGGGTCAGGGAAAGAGGTCTGATACTGAAGGCCGATGGAGAGGAGTAGAACAGGCAAGCCAAACACAGCAGTGTGATATTTGACTTAAAAATCTGGAGATAGGGGGTGGGCTTCTCCATCCTCACAAACTTTCCAGATTTCAGCCAGTAGGTACAGAAACATGGAAAATACAGATTGTTCTTGTCAGCTCTTTTGGAAAAATGCAAACACTGAATGTGGTTCCTTGAGAAAATAAAGATGGATTAGCATATCCATAGAAAATAACTAATTTTACTCTTTGCTGTAGCCAACAAGTAAAACAATATATTACTGTAGATCAATTCATACGATTGGCTATTATGGTCATCTATGGCAACGTCTTGTAATTTTTTATAAGATGCCTTTAAACAAGTATTTCATTCTTATCACACAGTGCTTGATATTTTTGGTACAAAGTGTGCTATGAAGATTTTTAAAATGTTTAAGATGTTCTTCTTGACTGCTGTATCAAATACTATCAGAAGAAGCTGAAATGGACAATTACTCTATTAAATATTCAAGTCACTTTTATATTATAGCTGCAACATTCAAAATGCAAAGTTGCTTATATGAATATGTTGTTTACCGTGCAGCAAAATCTTCTATTATTACTGCGGGACGTTACATTCTTTTACTTTCACTGGTAAGAACACCTACCTGTACATGATCTTAATTTAGATAAACAGAAACTTCCTAGAAATATTACAAACTATAACACCTCTCTGGATAGAACACTGCTGTACCACTTTGGTTCACTGAGTAATGTTCAGGCCCATTGAAACCACAGAAGTGCATCTAAAATAGTCCTTTTAACGGCGCTTCAAGGATGCATGTTCAAATTCTGCACTGACCTTTCCTCTGAAAGAAAGAGTTGAGGGATGGGGATTTGTTTCAAGTTTTAGTATTGGTTTGGAAGTACTTTTTTTTTGCTCCCTACTGTTCTTTACATATATTCAGAATAATAATCTTTCAGAATAAATCTTTGAATTAATGCTTCCTTGCTGAAAACAGAGGGAATATCTTTTGAAAAACTAAGGAAACCTTCATTAATTGAGCATGTCAGTCAAATGGGCTACCTAAAACCTTTTATGCAAAAGCACGGGAAATTCCCTTTACTTATGATTCAATACAATTTTCCCCACAAAACAGATATATCACATCACCATTATTAAGGTAAATCCATGATAATAAAACATTTCTAATGTGCATGTTGCAGAGAAATCCCTCCAATTGTAAACAATGCTAATACACACACCAAAAGTATTGGCATTAAAGCTAAATTTTGAATAGTAACAATAATTAGAGTAATAATTAAAAATCCTTTCTCCATTACAAGCAATTGACAAGGTTGTTTATAAGATCCTTTTCACATTAGGCAGAATTTCAATACCATCCACAATGCTAATACAATAATGAAGGCTAAAAAGAGCAGGTCAGTGCTTATAAATACTGACATTTCAGACTTCTATTCTTCCTGCTAAGTGTGTGTCTGTGCAATTTCCACTAGAGAGTAGGCTTGTGCGTTCACACACTAAGGAAACAGAGCTAAGCCTATCCAAAGTGTGAAAACAGAATGGGTTCTAACATGAACATTTGAAGATATTAAGTTAAAATCAGCATCTCTAAGTCATGCGCTCCTTGTTTGCAGTAACAAAACTAAATCCCATGTGGCTGTGGGCATCTTAATGTATTTCAAAAGTTAGGCCACAAGTACTGTACCATATTTATCAAAACCAAAATATATATGTACCACACAACATACAAAAGTTACACATTAAAAGTGCATACTGAGATTCCATTTTGGCCCATTTCTGAAATCAACATTTGGTCGCTCCTAAGCATCCTCAACCTTCCATGTATTCTATTTGAGAAATAACCATTTCTTCCACAGCACATATCCCTTATATCCTCTCCGTACTAACTCTCGCTCTGGTTCAGTACAAGGTAAAAGAACAATGGATTATAAAGCAACATGGGCCAAAAAAAAAAAAACTATATATTTTTTTTCACTGATGGGCACACTCACATAGTAAGCATTTATAAATACTAGTAAAATACATTTCTGAGCCAAAACATTGCATATTTCCCTCAGTCACCTGAACCAATGAAAAATAAATTATATTCAGAGTAGTATATTGCCACCGCATGCCTGACAGCACTCTCTGAAGATAGGCAGATGCATCCTAAATATAATATTTTGGACTGGAGCGTATGTTTGCCCCCAGTTCAAGTGCTTTTAACAGGGGGCTAGTTGAAATCCAGTTACCATAAGACCAACTGATAATCTTCATTTGGGATTTTTTTTTTTAAAAAAAAGGAAAGGAGAAGAAGATTCTTTTGAAAACGCTTTTTGTTGATCAGCATTACTGCCTTATGGAGCTAGTGCAATCCTACAAAGCCGAGTCAAAAACGACAAGGCACCATTTAAAAAACAAAAAAACCAGGAAAATCACAAATGAACTAGAATAGTTGACGTTAAGGCCTTTCAGTGAACTGGAGAATTATCAGTCTGATTTAAAGCTGATTATTAAACCATATATTTATCCGTTCTTTAAAAGCTTTCTGGTTCTGTTCTGCAGAGAAGGGTCACATATTCGAGCAGATGGTTTGCAAAACCCCCTTCTGGATATGGACGAGGAGGCATTAGTTCCCGAGAGTTCATGGAAGATTTCATGACTGTTTTAGCCGTTTGCGCGGAATGCCAAACTGCGGACACTGTGCAGAGGCCAGAGCCCGAAAGGCCTCAGCAACTAAGTGGGGATGGGAGTGGATCATCGATTTCCATCCTGCGGTTTCCGTTATGTCTGTGGCTTGGCTGTAAAGAAAAAAGATGCACAAAACATAGGCTGAGAAGATTTGCAAGATACTACAGGCATGTCTACTCAAACGTCAAGCTACATTAAGATGAACAAAACATACTTCCAAGTGGAGATATCAGGAAGATAAGGAACCAAAATGAAAACACTTTTTTTTTTAATTTTAGTCAGGGATTACCAAAGCCAACTTGCATAATCAAGGCTTGCAAAAGTTACTTTTCAGTACCTGAAAGGCTGGGAAACCCTGCTTGATATTTCAGCAAATCCCTCTCTTGTTCTGAGTAGGAATTACAAAGCTATTCTATTCTATTCTATTCTATTCTATTCTATTCTATTCTATTCTATTCTATTCTATTCTATTCTATTCTATTCTATTCTATTCTATTCTATTCTATTCTATTTATTTAAAACATTTATATAGTTGCCCATCTTTCATACAATTCTGGGCGGCTCCCAATCAAAAATTAAAATATGTAAAGCCGTATTAAAACTATAAAACTAAACACATGAAAACATTAAAAGCAGCAAAAACCTGTTGCCTATCTATGCTAACGTGCCATCATCTAAGTTCCCAATGCTTAGGGGGGAAAAACAAGTCTTCAAAGCCTTACTGAAGGCTAAAAGGGAGGAGGCCTGGCAAATCTCCCATCAAATGACAATATTTAGGGGAAGGGACTAGGAGAGGGACCCCTTCTGTATTTCATTCAATACTGCATTTTATATTTGAGCTAAGATGGATTTCCCATTAATTCCAAAGCCATATTATCAATTTATGTTTAGTTGGCTTCCTGATCAAGTTTACAAAATATCCAAATATAAAATAGATATGTAACCCCACCTGGGAAAAGACTAAAATACAACAAACATAAAGTAGGAAAAATTTGTAATGAAAATATGGAGAGCACCCTTCAAGAGTTATATGTCTGATTTTAACATTGAGTCTCACTCTTTATTCCACTTCCTCTCTCTTGAAATCAAGACAACACACAGCTAGATTACAGACAATGCTTAAGTGAGATTAAACTACATACCTGTTGTTCCAGTTTTTTCCATCTTTACAGCCAAGCTGTCTAAGAACACTGCACCTGTGCATGAGAAGATACTCAAATATTATTTCTCTGAAGTATTCCCTTCAAAGGAGAAAGATTTTTCAAGGAAACAAATCGCATACCTGTTAATGAAATCTATTGCTTGTGCTTTCAACTGTTCTGCACTGTGCAAATCTGCGAGAATCAGAATGTCTGCCACATTTTCTACTGAGAGGTTACTACACAGAGCTTCTTCACACATGATCTTCAGCCGTTCAAGTGCATACTGACCAGAGGGGAAAAATGGTTTGTGCATATTCGATGCTGCTTCAGTCAGAAAAGCAGACATCTCTAATATACAAATGCCTGATTGAAACTATGAAATTATTAATCCCTCACAACGAACTATATGAATGATAGAGGATGTATTGCTCTATTCTCAATGAACTGGCATTAGGAACAATAATTCCCAGGGCTACATATCTGGCAAGTATATCAATCCATTATTAGTTATTAAAGCATGTTAATTCTCCAAATTTGAAACACCAATAAAAATATTAATCCCATCTATAAATTTTATTTTTCTAGTCTGCTAATGTGAGACCATAGAAAGAGGAATTTATGGCAATAGGAGGTCTGAAAAATTCTTCCTTCTTTCTAAATAGACAACTATATGTCTGGGTGGTTATTCACCTTGGTTCTCCAAAACACTGCCTAAAATAATGGATAACAGTTTTTCACTAATAGTATAAAACATGTTTACATAATTTCTGTATCTTTTTTTACTCAGTGTATTGGTAGCATTCCTGACTGTAGGAAAATGTTAAAACATACTCTTTCTACATTTTGTTAAAACAAATAGTAAAGCCCTTCTATAGTTTTTCTTTACTTACTTTATCTGCTGCCGCCAACAAGCTGTCAGCCATTTTGTCAAGATTTGGAGCCTTGCCTGTATAAATGAATCTCATCATCTCTTTAAATACATCAGGATCTACATCATTTATTTCTACGCAATTCTGTTACACAAATCAGAAAAAAATTGTTATAATTTTGAATTAAAGCATTATAAACCACTTAACCTAAAGCAATGCGGCTACAAAACACATTAGGTCTCCATTATACTTGTTGATAACTTTAACTAAACCTATTGTCAAGCTCCTTCAATCTCAGGCAGTGACATTTTTTCTATGAAATCCAATAGAACTCTAGAAGTTGTTACAGTGCTCCATTTGGATTCAAATAAAAAAATCAAAGAAGTAAAAAAAATAAATGAGTCAAAAGAACTAGAGCTTATTTGCAAAATCCTCATACTCCTCTTCCTACCTTACAGGTGGTTCCAACATTGCACTTTCTATACTTTCAAATCTGTTTCAGGCTTCGAGCAAAGTGCTGGCTTTAAATTTAAAGAATGTTATAAGACAATTGCCGCTGAAGGCTTGACAATGCCTGGCCAAAGAAATGAGTAAAAAATAAAAAACCCGCGATAGTACCAGCTGAGGTCCTTTGGGAAAGCAGTTCATTAGAGGCAACAATACAGAGGGACTATGAAAACAATTTTATTCTTGTGGAGCAATTATTTCTTCATAACCAAGTAGGAGTCAGGATATCCCAAAGATGCTCTTCCAAAAGCAACTGAAAAGTATTGGTTTTTTTTCCTTGAAAATGTTTCGCTTCTCATCCAAGAAGCTTCTTCAGAACTGAAGAAGGTCCTTGGATGAGAAGCAAAACGTTTTTAAGGAAAAAACCCAAGTTGCCTCTTGAAAAGCACCTTTGGGATAACCATGGCCTGGATGATTGACTTTCCATAGACAGGGGTCAGGATAGTTTTGACAGACAACCCATGCTTTCCATATCCTAGATTGGCATATTCAATCCAGAAAAGCCAATCTTATACAATATCCTCCAAGGCTCTACATGTGATCTATTAGCCTACCTGCAAATGAATACCACAATATCCCCAAAGCACTTTTATTTTATTCTACAGGTCACATTTTTGCAACACTTCCTACAGTATTATATTTTTAAATGTTTTGTTCAAATAAATTGTGAAATACTATTTGGCCCATAAGGTTTTTTTAAATTAACCCAAGCCCCCCGACCTCTGAGTTACCAGTCCGTGGCCTGTTAGGAATTGGGCCATGCAAGCAGTGGGTAAGCGAGCGAAGCTTCATCTGTTCATGCGTGAGATCTAGGTTGCCCTGTCCCCTGGTCCTTGGAAAACTATTTTTCTTCCAAAACTGGTCCCTGGTGCCAGACAGGTTAGGGCCTGCTGATTTAACTGACTGATTGGTTTCTGTCACCCTATGCTGATTCAAAGGTAAGGTGCTTTGGGACATCATTCCACAGAAATGAAAGCAGCACTCCGCTCACCTTTTTGCTTTCCTCCATTTCATGTTCAAACATGGCATTAAAAACAGGTGAACGAGCTGTGGGAAGAGACCTGCATGTTAATAATAGTTCAAGATTGTAACAAAAACTATGAAACAAGACAGAAGTAAAACATACCTGCAAGGATAGATTTATGAGCTTTGAACTCTTGCCCTCCTATATAAAAGCTGCAATCTGTGAATCTTGAGGTTTCCCAGAGGTTGCCTAAATCTTCAGCTAGTCGACATTCGGGTACTTTTAAGGTGTTTGTACTGGACAGTCCTGATATATTTACTGAGTCTTGGACCACGCTTACCTAATCAAAACAGTAAATAATGCATCAATCACTATATGATTAGGCTCTCATAAGGCAATAATGCATACATTAGGCAACTCCCAAAATCATGATATTTAGCTAGGAAAATAAAATACACCAAAAACCAATGCGATAAATACAACTCAACATGTATTGTACTATCAGCACATTAAATAAAAGCAAGAGATGAACATTTCTAACAGGTTGTTCTTTGAAATCTGGTCCTAATGAAACCTAACAACAATTATACACAATATAATTGTTTTATCTTGTATCACAGAATTTCCCCAACCTTTCCGGCTTTATGGACCGGCGTGAGAGTGGGGATGGTTTTGCCGGAGTGGCAGGCAAATGTGCATATGCGCGCAGCTCCACTTGTGCAAGCAGCTTGCACCCGTGCCCACCTCTTATGTAAAGGGAGCATGCATGCAAGCACTTGCCCGCTGTTCACACAAAGGAGGATGGACGCATGTTCAACGCCGCTTTGGGCAGCCCGTTTTTGAATAGTTCACAGCCCGTTAGTGGCCCGTAGGTTGGAGACCCCTGTTGTATCAGATTCAAAGCCAGAATGGAACTGAAAGTATTTAAGTATAAATTAAGCGTAAGTTAGAAATCAAGTTTCTAGAATAGATATTTTTATAAGACAGACCAGACAGGGTTGTGCAACTGAAGAGTAGGAAACCTATAGTTGCTGAATTACATCGTCCAGCAGCTCTGATCAACATAGAAGGATGCTGGGCTAGAATTCCTGTCCCAGCTAATGTCTTATTATACTGTATGCAGATGAAGCAAGGTATTTTAAGTTAATACAAGACAAAAGGAGTTGTCAAGCACCCAAAATGTGATCATGTGACCTTGGGAAGAGGTGGGGCAACAGTCATAACTTCAAAGATGGGTGTAAGTAACTTGTTGTAACTTCGAACGGTCATTAAGTGGTAATAAGCCAAAAATTACCTGCATGCATGTGCATTCAGATTTCCATCAAATGCACACATTTACACACATCTGTGCACACACAAAGCCTCTCTGCCTTCAATAATCTGCATTCATTTGAGTTGTTGGAAATGAAAATTAATGCTCTTCTTCTGGGGTCCCTGCTATTCTCCTCCCCACAATTTGCCAAAGTTGCAATAGAAACCAGATTGTCAAGAAGACCCAGCAACATAGAACCATCTCAATAGTGAAAATGAGGAGCTATAGACCTTCCCTATTGGTAATCCTCACTTAATGGGGACTAGCAACTTCATTGCTAAATGACACAGTTGTAAAGTATGAGTCATGTAACTGCACCGACCTACAGTAGTTGCAGCAGTTCTGGCTGTCTTCATTAAGTGAATCCTGTGTGATTGTTAAATGCAACTCACATGATTACCAGTTGCAACCTCCTACCAGCTTTCCCATTAACTTTGCTTGTCAGAAGCTCACAATGAAGGTTGCAAACAATGATTACATAAGTGCAGGATGCTGCAATCAATGTAATTGTTAAGTTGGTTGCCAAGTTTCCAAGTTACAATCATGTGACCATGGGGATGCTGCGACACACACAAATATGAGGACTGGTCATAAGTCTCCTTGTTTAGCACTGTAGTAACTTTGAACAGTTGCTGAACAAGTCATCATTAAGTGAGGACTACTTGTATTTTAAAACTAAGTATGTTCAGTTTGCAAGCAATAACTGAAGCGCCTAAAGGAGTTAAGAAAACAAAGAGCAAGACTGGATGCTCCTGAATCAATGCATCAAAACCACTGCAATACAACAGACTTTATCTGATGCACGCACATTAAACATTTGCTTCTAACAAGATTGGTTGGCAGCAGAACTCTTTTGATTCAGGAATATTTTATAACATGAGAATCCTTTCAGATTCAGGCTTGTTACACCCACTTGTCAATGCAATAATTGTATTCATAACAAATGCATCACGCAGCTAATTTAGCCTGTCTGTCTAACTAAAATAAGATGCAGTACATTTGTACCATTTAGTCTCAAGGGCCACATTTCCATTATTCTTCATGCACAATATAATGGCACATAATTAACTTGTAAGCTTGCCAAGAAATTTTTGCACATGTTTCTTGTAAATACAAAGATCAAAGCAAACTTATTAGCAGTTACAGCATCTATCATCTTCCTAAGCCACTAATCAGTCCACGGCAGCAGAGATAACCACCCAAAGTATATTTAACACTCACCATACTAAGATCATAACCTTTTTCACTAGTTTCCATTTAGAAACACCACAAACAGTCTTTCTGGTTTTACTAAGACATTTTAGGTTACTGACCTAATTAACAGTGATTTATTGATTTAAGCCAAGGATTTATTTTATCAGAGCATCTGATTTAATTTTAAATTAATTGTTAAGAAAAATTGCTTTAATTTGTAATATTGTTAACAGATTTAAATCTGAAGAATGTCAGAAGAATTTTTAAATATCTAATGTCATGGCGGCATCATCAATGTAATGAAAAAACACAACTGTTTCGAGAAAAGCAATTTTGTTAGTTTCACTGAGCAATTACTAATTCTAACACATCAAACTTGTGATTTAGAAATTCCATCTTCTTAAAACTTATTCCACAACTGTTCCTGTCTGTTTTCTTGGTAGGTAAGCTAATCAAGAAAGATCCAGGATCACCATGATCATCACACAGTATTCATTATGGAATCAATTATTTTGCCTTTCAAGACTTTGCATCCAAAGTTCTGGTCAGTTCTGGTCAATTAGAAGCATGCAAACATTATATAGTCTCATGAGGATGGAGTGGAAGTTGGAATACTCCTGTGATTGATTGACAGACAGATGGACAAACATCATAGAAGTATTCCTCAGGCTTTTTTTCATTTTGTGCTAAATAGCAATGTGTCTAATGGGCAACTTATTTATAGAAAATGGATCTTACATCAAATACATAAGAAAACCATTAAGCTCAAACCTTTGATCAGGGTGTTTCTTTAATATGAAGGGATAAACTTAACATTTAAAGCTCTCCTCATTTCTCATTCATAGCCATGGAAACCAATATTCTATTTTAAAAAGCACAGATTGATTACCTACCTCACAAAATAGCGTAAGTTTATCATCTGGTAAAAGACCATTAGTTTCCTCAAGTAAAAAGTCTCTTCGAATGAATTTTTTAAAACCCCAGTCCTTGCCTTGAACAAATCGATATGCTCTTTGGCTTTCTAGTAGTAAATAAATAAAACAGGAGTACATTCAATTAAAAGACATTTTAAAATAATTACAGATGAGAAATGAAATCCAAGGTTCCTACTGAGTTGAAGTCATTATATTATTAATAGCAATCTATGTATCCATGAATACATTTTGGGCTGAAAAACTGCCTCACTTTCTGTGCATTGGACATAGTTTAATAAAATTACCCGTCATTCGATACAATTGCCAACCACGCAGAAATAAAATATAGAGGTAAATATTTTGGTTATAAAGACCCAGGGGGGCTTTTAAAAATATAGGTAGTCCTTGACTTTCAATCATAATTGAGCCCAAAATGTCTGTTGCTAAGTGAGACAGTTAAGTGAGTTTTGCTCCATTTTATGACTTTTCTTGCCACAGTGGTTAAGTGAATCATTGCAGTTGTAGCACGGTTGTTAAGTGAATCTGGCTTCCCCCTTGATTTGGCTTGTTAGAAGGTCTCCAAAGGTGATCACATAACCCCAGGACACTGCTACCGTCATACATATGAGTCAGTTGCCACATATCTGAATTTTGATCATGCTACAATAGTCACAAATGTGAAACACAGACACAAGTCATTTTTTTCAGTATTGCTGTAACTTTGAATGGTCACTAAATGAAGTGATATAAGCCAAGGAGTATCTGTAATCTTAAAGTATTTGGTAATATTTGGATGTTGACTAGCCAGATAATGAACATGTTACCTAGAAAACATATTGTACACAGTCATTTTACAAAGGTTTTGCAGGCTTTTCTACCCTGCTGTTCTCCAATCAAACTGGAGATCAGCTCTCACAATCCTAGCCTGGGTACCCAAACCCTGGAAGGTGTCAAGTGGAGGAACACTAGATTAGAAAGAAAAATATTGCTGTTAATGATAGTTAAAATAGCAGTAAAGTTATTTATCACCCACCAGTAACCCATGGAATTCTGGTGGGAGCCAATTCTAGAGAAGCTAAGCTCAGTAAGGAAAGACTCTTGATTGTGAAATTGTTATTTTAATACATAGGAGAATGAACTGAATCTAGAGCAGTAAATGTATCCACTGTGTAGACTCATGAGCCACCAAAAAGTCTTTCAAATAGCCCAATATGCCCATCACGGGACACAATATGTCAACACCACTGATTTATACTGGTATATTTTAAGAATCAGGAGAGAGAAATAAAAAAAGTCCATCAACAGCACACAAATCAAAGGACAGAATGAGGCCTCATTTAACCCAGATGGCAGGCTGCCTAGCTTACCTGAGACCTCATTCTGTCCTTTGATTTGAATGCAGAAGCAGGTTGCTACAACACCCCACGTAAGACACATCAAAGAGCCAATTGTTTAGCCACCTCAGTAATCACAAACTGACCGAGCCTACAAATATTCATTAAATGGCAATTACAGATGTTAGCAGCTTTTTCTGTGAGAAGCTTTACAGGCAGCGTCATCATCATATTTTCCCAATCATATCTGCAAAGTGAATGTTTTTTTTAAAAAAAATGGAACACAGAATTTAAATAAACAAATTCCCTGTACTGTCAAACAGACAAACATCAGTTTAAAAACTTGAGACAGCTATTGCAAAGTAGAGTTTATAATGAGGGAGGGAGGGAGGGAGGGGGGGAGGAAGGCTAAGTATTAAATAATTCTATAGAAAGCTAGAGTATACAACCTTTTTTGAAAGGATGGATTTGCCATAAACATGAAATAAATAAGGCAGGACTTCCCTCAGATATACCCTCTCATTCCAACCTCCCTCCCTCCCTCCCTCCCTCCCTCCCTCCCTCCTTCCTTCCTTCCTTCCTTCCTTCCTTCCTTCCTTCCTTCCTTCCTTCCTTCCTTCCTTCCCAGGAAGGGATGAGGGGAGGGTAAGAGAGTGGCAGTGCTGCTGGTGTCTGTGGCTTTCCCATGTGGGGGCGGGGTGAGAGGCGGGGCAGGAGACATCCCGGTGAAAGGGAAGCACTCGTGGCCTGCCGGACCAGTGGGTGAGGCTGGGCTGGTGAGCAGGCCATGGAGTTGGTGGTGGCAGGTGTGGCTGCTAGGGCTCTACACGCTGCTCTACTTTGTGGCAGCCACCTGGTGAGGTAACACGGCCAGCCTGTGGGGCAAGATGGTGCTCATCATGTCAGCTGCGTGCCAGCCCCCGCGCACTTGCTGCCTCCTGTGCGTGCACCCAGCCAGACTGGGATGGGCAGGGGTGGTGGGGATCGATCCCTTGCCATCTCAAGGGTGGCCCCATGGGCCACATCTAACCACATTGTGGGCCTGATCTTGCCCGCCGGCTTTGAGTTTGACATATCTGTTTAATTCATCCTTTTGACAAACTTTGGAAAGGTCCAATTATTTCTTTCTCACACTGAAAGTCAACATTAGAGTAATTTTAAAAATGCACTTACCCATTGCCTTTGTTTCTTCTCTTTTAGCATTTAACAGAGAAAATTTAAATTTTGCTCTCACTTCACTTTTTGGACAACTAACTAGCAGTAAGTACAATGAAAGATAATCTTTGCTTTCATCATCTAAACCTTTTGGGTTTACTCTCAGGCACCTGGAATGTAAGAAGTCTGGGTTATATATCAGCACTCAATAAAAATTGTCGTTGGCTAGACATATTTATGTCAGGACTTACAGGGTAATATGTTTCAAATCTGCTAGACTAAGGTCCTTTACAAGGAATTGTAAATAGTTCTCTTTTAGACTGATATTTTACAATTATATTTTTGAACAGTGTGGCCTCAAAGTTACAAACTTCAAATATTCCACTATTGTGGATTAGTATCACATCTGCTATCCACTTATCTTCAAGTCTAATCTTGCTCTCCTACCTCAATGGCAAGATTTTAATATTTTATAAAGTAGAAAGCTCCTTTAGAAAAAACACATCTGATAAATATCTTAACAAAAGGAAAAATCTGGTTTTTTTTTCCTGTCAACACCTGGGTTCACCATAAAAGTTTACAGGACTCTTTAAAACAATGTGGGATAAAGTGCAGAAAAAAATGATAAAATCCATCCCCATCTTTTTTCATTTTCTTTTTTAAAAAAGCTTCATTACAATCTATGGTGATTTCTATAAGCTACTCAATGGAGACTGTGTGTAAATACAGGTAGTTCTCGACTTATAACATCAATTGAGCCCAACATTTATGTTGCTAAGGGAGACAGTTGTTAAGTGAGCTTTGTCCCATTTTACGACCTTTCTTACCACAGTTGTTAAGTGAATCACTGCAGTTGTTAACTTAGTAGCATGGTTAAGCAAATCTGGCTTCCCTGTTGACTTTACTTGTCAGAAGGTTGCAAAAGGTGATCACATGACCCTGGAAGACTGCAACCATCATAAATACATGCCAGGTACCAAATGATCATGTGACCATGGGATGCTGCAATGGTTGTAAGTGTGAAAAATAATCCTTTTTTCCAATGCCATTGTAACTTTGAATGGTCACTAAATGAACTGTTGTAAGCCGAGAATTACCTGTATATTCAAAACACATGAATTAAAAAAAACCGGCTTTGTAAGGAAAACCAAATATAAGCATATTTTTCTCTTTAAATAATAACTACTGATCTACTCAATTTGCATCTCACCTCAAGATGCTCAGTATAACAATAATCTCAAGCTTTCAGTAAGAATGCTTATATCACACACTCAGGGAGAAAAGGAGTGAATTATAATCAAAATATTAAGTACAATGTTACATAATAAGGGAATTACATGAAAACATTCTTATACCACACTAATTCAAGTACTTAAAATAGAACATACAAGAATTCCTGGTTTACACATAAAGTTAAATAAGCCACAGAGAGCTACATTAAATTAACATGGCTTCTCCGGTTTAGACTTGCCTAAGTAACCACCTATTTTTGTTTATTTAGCAATTTGTGTTTAAACAAAATGTGGTTTAGCATGATATATGAACCCTATCAGAGTTTCAGTAGTGAAAAAATGAGAAGCTAGTTTTATATAAATGCAAAACTACATCAGTGGTCCCTAAACACAATAAATATAACTTTTATTTGCAAACACAAAAAATGAATATTTATTGGCCAAACCTGCATCACATTACACTATTAAAGACCAAATTTTACAAGATTTTAGGAAGAAACATCAAAACTTTGACAATCTGGTGATCTCAAAATATTTTCACCATCAAGAACATTATGATTTTTTATATTAACTGTTTAATGTTGGGTTGGGGCAAGGTGTCACATATGGTATGATAGGGAAAAGTGTGTATTTCCAACCCATAATTTAGTGGTCCCCAAATGTTTTCAGTGATCACACAGTGTTTCTGTTAAGATATTTAAATTTAGTAGCAGGAACAATGGGGTTGTACAATGAGCCGGAACACACAGTTATAGATGATGATTAGAGAGTGTTGGCTCCTGCGTGAAGAAATCTGCACTGTGATTGGTTGCCGTGGATATGGAGGGGGAGTTTCCCTCCCCTGCTTTTTTCTTTTGTGTGCCGAATTCCCTGGCATTCATATCAGAGAAAAGGCTGGAAATTACTACAGTGTGAGGACCCACCCCACTTTGCATCTTAAGAAGACAGAACTCTTGGAATAATTCTTCCAACAGGAATCCTTTATTAAGAGAAAATGGTTGCAGGCATGCTAGACAGGACCTGGGGTTCAAGCTCTCCCATTCAAGGTTTTAAGGGGTTCCCCAGTAGTCCCACCCAATCAACCCCCCTTCCAGTGATAGTTTCAAGTATCACAATTCCATCCCCTTTCTTCTTCCGTCTGGATGGAGACTTCAGATAACTACAGGAAAGGCAATTACTCTTCTTTGATATGTTAAAGCTTAGAGGCCACAATAAACACACATTCAGTCCTTTGAAGTGTGCTGAAGGAAGTGAGGGCCATAAAGCCCCTTTGCTCTCCCCCTTTTCTCCCTCTTATGGCAGAATCCAGAGAAGGCAGAATTGGGAGTTTCTATGTTTGATAATTAAAGATGAAATATAATTGGATTCTGACATACAGTATATTTCAATATGTTACAATATGTATGACAATTTATATTTCAGCCTTTAGCTGTATTGACTGTCATTGTGACTGGTAGTAGTTGACAGTTTTTCTGTCAATTGTTCTAATGTTTGAAGAAAGGTATTGTATCCTAGCTTGACACATTATGTGTTCATGGAATCTCTTATATTTAAGGCAAAAGGAAATTAATGCATTTATCTTACCATTTCATTTTATCATTTGGCCCTGAAGAAAAAGTTGAACTCTTTAAAACTTCACCCATTTCTTCTCGGCAGAAACTGAAGTTATTAATGGTCCACATATAAGAAAACTTTACAACTTTAACCTGCATAAGAAATGCAGACAGTTATGTGAATTTACAAAGTTTACCTTTTACAAACCTAATTTAAAAAAAATTACCAAAGAAGTCAACTGCTCACCTAATTAAAGGTAACAAAGCAATATCTTGTAGAATTAAGGAATAGCTCAACTCTGTATTTTTAAAACTATGTCAACACAACATATAATTATTTTCCATTAACTCAAAGTTGCCACTAATAACTCCCAGTCCTGGAAAGCAATAAATCTGTAGGCTCCCAGAATTGAGAAAGCTGTATTCATGATTAATTTGCTTTCTAGTATTTGATTAATTCAATTGGTAATAATGCTAATTCTTTGTATTATGGATTTCTCAGGAAATAGTGTCTCATTGATGATCATGTCAGGCAGCAGAGCTACTAATGCATAAAACTTAAGCTTCTCATTTTGAGATAATTCATCTTGTTCTTCCTAGTTTTATAGAAGATTACAGCATTTTATCCACTCTTTCTCTTAAATGGAAACAGTAATAAATTAGTAATAGGAAACTTAATAGCTTCTCAGAATTCAAAAAGCTAACACATGTAACAATATTTTAAGTTTTTAAATTTTAAATACTGGGCCCTGGGATATTTCAGAAGGGGCGTTGACTTACCTGAACGCCTTTTCTCAGCACGGAGATGGATAATCCACGCAGTGGGTTGAGACTGTATTCCTGGCCAATCAGATCAGTCAGCCAAAGTTGCCACGCCCCGTCTTGGACCATGATCCTTTAGTCTTGACTCGAGCGCAGCCATTGACTGACAGTAAGACGTTTTGGCTCCACTAAATATACCCTATTATTCTAGTCTATAAGGGTGGGTGTGGATTATCCATCTCCGTGCTGAGAAAAGGCGTTCAGGTAAGTCAACGCCCCTTCTCCAGCACTGGAGATGGATAATCCACGCAGTGGGACATACCAAAGCCTATTGTCCCTTGGGTTGGGGAATAGACTGGTCCCGTGTGCAACTTTGGTCTAGCACCTGCTGGAGAACCCTCCTACCGAAGGAGGCCTCTGCAGAGGAGTACCTGTCGATTTTGTAATGACGAATGAATGGAGAGGGCGAGGCCCAAGTGGCTGCCCTGCATACCTCTTCAATAGAAGCCTGCATGGCCCATGCTGCTGAGGTGGCAGCACTCCTTGTGGAATGGGCTGTGATATGCTTGGGGACTTGCAAGGACCCCGCCTGGTATGCCCCCATGATGCATGCCCTAATCCACCTACCGATGGTAGAGGACGAGACCTTCCGGCCCCTAGTAGCAGGGTGGAAGGATATGAAAAGCGCTTCCGAGCGTCGGAATTCCGTTGTGCGTGAAATGTAATGTCTTAGTGCCCTGCGTACGTCCAAGGTGTGCCATTGTTGCTCCAGGGGATGAGCTGGGTTTGGACAGAAGTCTGGTAGGACTATTTCCTGTGATCTGTGAAAAAGGGAGTTGACCTTTGGAATGAATGAAGGGTCTATTCTTAGGACTACCTTGTCCCTGTGAAAATGGCACAGGTCCTTCCTCATTGAGAGAGAAGCTAACTCGGATATCCGCCGAGCTGACGTGATGGCTACCAAGAATGCTACCTTATGGGTCAGATAGTGAAAGTCACATGTTTTGAGTGGTTCGAAGGGCGCTCTGGTAAGAGCTTGTAGTACTCGTGGTAGTTCCCACGATGGATACCTGTGCACGGTTGGCGGTCTGATGTTTGCAGCCCCCTTGAGGAAGGATCGTATTAAGGGATGCTTGCCCAAGGATTCACCGGGGCTGGCAGAAAGTATAGTTGAGAGGGCGGCGATTTGCCTGCGCAGTGTGTTTGGCGAGAGGTCCCTCTCTAGGCCATCTAGTAAAAATTCTAGGATCTTGGGAATTGTGATCCCTTCGAGTAACAATTCCTGTTTAGAGCACCATGATTGGAAGCTTCTCCACGTGGCCTCGTAGATACGGTTCGTGGAGGGGCGCCTTGATGCCTGTATGACCCTAATTACACCCTGTGAGCAAGCCCCCTTGGCTAAAATTGACCGTTCAAGAGCCAGACGGCTAGTTGTAGCCATTGTGGCTCTGGGTGGGAGATCTCCCCCTGCTTGAGGGAGATCCTCTCCGGAGGAATCCGCCATGGATTCGTGCGGGAGAGACTCCTCAAGTCTGCGAACCAAGGTCTCCTTGGCCAATAAGGGGCCACAAGGATTACCTCGGCCCTTTCCCGCAGAATCTTGCGTACTACCGCCGGAAGGAGAGGTAAGGGTGGAAACGCGTACAGGAGCCCCTTGGCCATGGGCTCCGTAACGCGTCCGTCTGCTCTGCTCCCTTGGATGGGAATCGGGAGAAGAAGCGAGTTAGGTGGGCATTGGAAGGAGAGGCAAAAAGGTCCACCTGGGGAAGCCCGAAGCGGTGACAGACCTCCCTGAAGATCCTCGGGTGTAGTTGCCACTCCGAGTGATCTATTGTTGATCTGCTCAACAGATCTGCTTGGATGTTTGCCTCCCCCGATATGTGGTCGGCCTTTATGGAGGCCAGATTTTGTTCCGCCCAGGCCCCCAGTAGGAGGGCCTCGGCCGAGAGCGAGCGAGAGTGTGTGCCCCCCTGACGGTTTATGTGGGCCTTGGCTGTCACGTTGTCCGTCAGGACCAGTACGTGCCTGCCTTTTATGCTGCTGTGAAAATGCCTTAACGCTAGGTGAATAGCCCGCAGCTCGAGCCAGTTTATGTTGTGTCGGAGATCCACCGCTGACCAGCGGCCCTGTGTCCACTTGGTCCCCAAGTGGCCTCCCCAGCCGAATAAGCTCGCATCTGTTGTGACTACTACTCTGTCTGGTTCCCTGAAGGGGGACCCCCTGAGGAGAGCTGGAGATAGCCACCACCTGAGGGAGTGTCGTACTCTCAGAGGTATGCCTACCCTCTTCCGGGATGCACTGATTTGTTGTCTCTGAAACGGGAGCATGAACCATTGCAGTTCTCTTGAGTGCAGCCTTGCCCAAGGAACTATTGCTATGGTCGATATCATCTTCCCTAGCAGCTGGGAGAGGCAGACCAGCGTCACTGACTGACCGCGGCTTACCTGTTTTATGGCTTTCTTTATGCTGCTGAGGCGTTCCTGTGATAGGTACACCTTGCATTCCTTTGTGTCTATGACCGCTCCCAGGTGGAGTATTCTCGTAGTTGGGGTTAGATGGCTCTTTGGAAAGTTCACCGAGAAGCCGTGGTCCTGCAGCATTTTTATCACTAACTTTAGGTCCGCCCGAGACTGCTGGGCGGACGATGACTGGATTAGAATATCGTCCAGGTAGCACTGGACTCTGACTGGTACGTTTCTTAGTTGTGCTGCCAGAACCGCCAGAATCTTGGTGAACACCCTGGGCGCTGATGACAGGCCGAATGGAAGTGCCCTGTATTGAAAATGGTGCCCCCTGTAGGCAAACCGTAGAAAGCGGCGGTGAGCCAGAGAGATAGGGATGTGCAAGTATGCCTCCGTGAGGTCGATCGATGCCAGAAAATCCCCTTTCCTTACGCTTCCAAGGATGGAGCGTAGTGTCTGCATTTTGAATTTGCGGTATTTTATGTAGAAATTTAGCCTTTTCAAATCCAAAACGGCTCTCCAACCCCCCGAGGGTTTTGGGACCACGAAGAGGATAGAATAAAACCCCTGGTCTCTCTGGTTCATAGGCACCGGCTCTACGGCCCGTATGTTTAGAAGGTGCTGAACGGCCTCGTTCATGAGCCTTCTCTTTGTTGGGTTTGTGGGACAGGGGCACGGGCGGAAGCGGTTCGGGGGCTTTGAGAGAAATTCTAGAGATAGACCATGACGTATGGTGTTCCTGACCCATACGTCCGTGGTGGTCTCTTCCCACTGGGGAGCAAACCCTGCTAGTCTGCCCCCTATGGGAAGGTCTGGGCGGGAGTCATCTGGTACGGCGGAAGGGGCGGTTGTTCCCCCGAAAGGGCCGTCTTCCCTGTGTTTGCCTATGTCTTGTGTTCTGTCTGTCCCCCTGTCTTTCCCTATCCTGTCTAGCTTGGAAGGGTTGGGAATTTTGAAAGTAGTTGACCCTGGCTTCCGTACGAAAGGATTGTTTCCTTCCCCAGGAGCCGGGTCTCTTGTCCTGCCTTTTAAGCATGTGTTTAAGGACCTTGCGCTTGTCCTTGTTCTCTGTCAGGTATGGCGTTAGTGCCTCACCAAACAGCTTTGCCCCTTGGTACGGAGCCGAAGCCAATTTCCACTTGGATTTGGTATCCGCCTGCCAGTTCTTTAGCCAGAGGATGCGCCTGCTCGTGTTGTTTGCCGCCATTGCCTTGGCTGAAAACTTGGTCGCTAAAAGTGTTGCGTCCAACGCATATTCCGTGGCCGCTACCATTTTGCTGAGTTCCTGATGAGTGCGTATATCTTCCATGGGAACCCGGCCCTGTAGCTCACGGAGTCAACAAAGTGTGGCTCTGGTGAAAAAGGACGCGGAGGTAGACGCCCTGGTAGCCCAAGCTATTGCCTGGTGCGTTCTCCTGTAGTTGGACTCACTCTTTCGGTCCTCGGCTTTAAGAGCTTCAGCAAAATCTCCTGATATGGCCGTGTCCGATATCAGGGGACCTATGGGTTCGTCCACCACCGGCACCTCCAATGTTCCCTCTAGCTCCCTTGCTACGTTAAATAGCTTCCTCTCCGCATTGCTAGGAAGCGGTAGGGAGGTTGGCGCTGCCCACTGTTTCCTTATTGTGTTTAGGAACATGGTCGGGCATGGTATGCGGTGTTGAGTGGTTACCTTTTCGGCGAACGTCGGCTCAGCCTCCGTGTCAACTGTGACAGGCTCCGCTGGTGTCCTATGCCCCAGATGGGCTGTGGCCTCAGCCTTGCGCAGAATAGTGACAAAAAGAGAAGGGTTAAACAGGCCGCTGAAGGACGGCCCTTGAGGTGAGGTGTCCTCCTCCTCCTCAGACATTTGAATCCCTTGTGACGTACCTGGCTGGTCCAGGTAAGCTTCCTCAGAGACCGACGAGTCTGAGACGGAGGAGAGGTCCTGATGGTCCTCCGTTTCCTCCCGATGCCTCGTTCTAAGTCCTAGAGACTTGGCTTTTGAAGTTTGAGCCCTGGCCTCAAATGCACGGTCCACTGCCTGTGCTATTAGGGTAGCTAGCAGATCCCCCGTCAATGCAGGAGGAGTGACCATTGCCTGCGACCCTGCAGGTGCTGTGGTTAGCATGGTCCTCGGGGTTTCCTGTAACCTCCGTGGGGAGGGGGATCGGGAGAGCGATGAGAATTCGCCTATCCCACCCTCTGTTTGGGACTGTGATGAGCTCCCTAATGACCAAATGGCCCGTGGGGATGAAGGGAGACCCAGCGGTAGATCAGGACCTATTCCCCCATTCTGCCTATTTTCAATTCTGGCCCTTTTCTGGGCTCTGTCGAACTCTTTTTCTAGGGCTTGGTGTCTTCTGATTGCCTGTTTGTCAGCCTTCTTTGATGACTTCCTTGCAGCCTTTCTAGGGGCTGCAGAGGATTCCGAATCCTCTGAAGCAGGTGCTCCAGAGGATGAAGGCGGGGCTCCAGTGGAGGGAATGATTGCTTCCTCCATTCTCCACTAACGCTGGGCCGCGATAGGGGGGACCCAGGTAGTAGGAGAGCTCCAACTTTGAGTAAGGACAGGCGCACTACTGGGGGCGTCTGGAACTCAGGAGCAGACTCTGCAAAATTGTCAGAGTTAGTCACTGTGCACGGATAAGAACAGGCACGCTAATGGGAATGCCTGGAACCCGGCTTGACTATGGTGGGTAAGGACAGGCACGCGACTGGGGATGCCTGGAACCCACCACTAAATCCAGAGGCGTACGGGCCACTAATGGGGGACCCGAAGTCTGGAAGGAGCCAAAGGCAACTAAACACAGTTAGTTATGAAAGGTTCTTATTTACTTTAGGTAGAAGACACCAAGTCCTGGAACCAGTAGCTATGTGTCTGATTTGAATGTCTCTGAATGAATAATAGATGCTTTAGTACCCCAGTACTGCTTGCCTATTAATTCACTCCAGCGGCTGAACCTAGCTTTCTTAAGGAACTTTAACTCCCCTGTTTGGACAAAAAATATGGCCGCCGCTGCCAGGAAACTACTGCGCATGTGTTAACAAGGCTGCCTATGCCACGTGCGGTTGTAACAAAGAGCTGCGCGTGCTTCCAGCTGTGCAGACAATGGCGCCTCGTTTAAAAAATCCTGAGCAGCCTGGAGTGAAAAGACTGCTCCTTCGCACGCCAGCTGTTTCCCTTAATCAATCTCCCTCCCAGCATGCGTCCCCTTTGTCCTCCGCTTCCCTCGCTAACTGCTTGCCTTTCTGTCTTTTTTTTGTTTGTTTGTTTGTTTTAAACGCGAGGGGTTGCCCGAGCCTCCCCGTTTGTTTAAGGCGGCTGCCGGCTGCTGGAAGGTGGCTGGGGTTGGTTAGGGAGGGGAGTTAGGGATTTCCCCCTTTTAAGTGGGGGTGGTTTCCCCTGTAGGAATCTGACTTCCTGAGTTTTACAATTTAGCAAGGAAATTTTTGAGTGGTCAATTAAATTGAATTAAATTATCTCTAATTAACTTTTAAACTAAGCAATTTCAGCTACTAGAAAAAATCCCCCCTAATGGAAAGGAACTATACCTGCCCAGGAGCCAAAAGTTGTAGATGTCTCTGCATGGCCAGATCAGTCAAGACTAAAGGATCATGGTCCAAGACGGGGCGTGGCAACTTTGGCTGACTGATCTGATTGGCCAGGAATACAGTCTCAACCCACTGCGTGGATTATCCATCTCCAGTGCTGGAGAACATCCCTTTTGCATTTGTATGCTGCATATTATAATTGTATTATTTATAAATCACATTGGACAGCTGCTCATCTCATAAAAAGTGACTCTTCTATGTACTTTGAAAATGAGTCGAAAGATTATTCAAAATGCCTTAGGATCAGCATCATTTTAAAGCAGCCACAACATTTTTAAGGCTCATGGAAAATTGAAACAAGATGTGGCTGCTTTAAAAAAGTTCTGTTCCCCTCTCCATTCTGTAGTACTACCCAATCATTTTTGAAGCATGAACAGCCTTACTATTCACTTTTACTAGAATTTTCTGGTCTTCTGAATTAAGCAGAATTAGGTCTGGTTAATCTTTGATATGATACTGCCAGAGGAAACCAGAGCCGTAGATAGATAAAAATCCAGAGATAGCAATTGCATGCACTTTCCATATCGCTGCTAAGAAACTCACATGGACATGTCATCAGAATGAGCTGAAGCTGACTCAAACAGATGGGGGGGGGGAAAGACTTTCACTGCATACCACCAAACACAGAGATACAACCGAACTGTGTGTGTAATACTAACTGTTGAGATCTGGTTCATTATTGAAAGGCTAAGTGACCAATTACCACCGGCTATTCTTTGTCATTGTCAGGTGCACATTGAACACTTTAGGCTGTTCATCTATTTATTTATTTTTTTGACAACTCACCAAACTCTGGTATTTAATCTTGTGCCTATTGTAAAACTGTCACTGCTTTTTGCTCTTTGTGCGTGTGTACTGTTTTTTTTTTTTTTTTTGGCTAAAACATCATTATCCAACTTTTATCTCCGTTCTTCTTTCTGAAAACCAGAATCATAAATATTTCTTTGGATGGCTTTTCAGGCATGGCTATTATCATTACTTTTGGGCAATGCCTCTTTCTCAAGGCTGATTTATTTTTACTTAGTTTATTAGATTTTCTCTGAGATTTCAAGGCAGTTTATTTGGGATCTCCATTTCATTCCTACCATGACAACACCATACAATAGGGCTGGACTGAGAGAGAATAAGTAGCCAAAAGGGCAAACTTGAACGTGGCTAATGTATGAGAATTATGCTAATAACATATTCTGAACTCAGACACTACATTACCTGTGTGTAACACCAGCTTTCAGCCACAGGTCCACTGGACATCTCTCCAGATGGTGAAGGAGTAGGGACCCTTGACATCCCCACTTTATGGCACTCTTTTCCAGTATAAAGGCAGCAATTTAGCTGTCAGTGTCCTTCCTTTCAACATCAAGATGGAAGCAAAGAATTAGGACTATTTCATAGTTATTATTATTAATTCAGAGTTTCTATATTATATGAAATGCCAAAAAACAAGAGAAAGAAGTGAACAAAATACTGATAAAGAACTGTATTTTTCTTCTTTCCCCAAGGCTTATTATTTTTATTTGATAAAAACCTAAAAATGGGAAAAGGGGGAAGTATGAAATTCATCCTAAAATTCTTTTAAAAGATGAAAGAAACTGGTCTATGTTTACAAACATATTACATAAAAAAATAAACTAACATGTCAAAGGCAGAACAGCTTGCCTCAATATAGTGAAAACAGCAACTTGGTAAAAGATTAAAAAATGAGGAATAAAAACTGACAATAATAGTGCTTTACTTTAAGAAAATAACAACATATGGACAGTGGTTCACATAATAAAATGTATTCTGAGACTCATTATTTCAAACGAAGATTAATGGATAGCTTTTGATATGTTTCATACACTGAGATCAAATTCTTTATTTTACTATAATGTTGATTTTTTTTTCATCAATTGTAGGCTTCTTCTAAGTAGGAAAAAATGAAGAGATGCTGTATTATTTTGTTTAGAGTTTTATTACTTTGGTAAATAACAAGACAGCAAACATACCGAATACTCTTCTTTCCTCCTATTCTCCCCTCAACAACAACCTTTTGAGTGGGATTAGGCTGAGAGAGAATGACTGGCTAAAGTCACCCACGGCTTTCATGCCAAGGCAGGATTAGAACTCACCATCTCCTGGTTTCTAACTGCTAGACCAGGGGTAGACAACTCTGGCTCTTTTATGACTCATGGACTTCAACTCCCAGAATTCCTGAGCTAGCCATGGCTGGCTCAGGAATTCTGGGAGTTGAAGTCCACGAGTCATAAAAGAGCCAAGGTTGCTTATCCCTGGCTAGACCAAACTGGCCTAAAAATTATATTTTAAATCCTGACAATTTAATTTAATATCACCTTTGTCTACCTGTACATTTAAAAAAAATCTTTTAAGGAGACTTTAAATCAATCAATCAAAAATGCCTAATACAATTGTTGGAAAATCTTCTTGACCACTTTACTTTTTTCCCCCAAGATCGATATCCACCAGCAATTGCTGTGGCTTACCTAGAAACTTAACTGATTTTTTTTTTTCATTTATTCATATGTCTCCAAGTGATTTGCAAACACAAAATACATTAGAATGCATTAAAATCCCATAAAACACAGACATTTTGAGATTTGAGTCAACAGAATGAGATCTCAAACAAAACAAGAACTCAGTTTTGATACTTTAATTCAAAATGTTATCTGAACATTGCCAGTTTTAACTACCTTGCAGAAGGGGCTGAAAGCAAAGGGGCCAGATGCAAAAGTGGGGAGGGGGGCAGGAGCAGGACTACAGGTTGGAACGTTATCAAGAAAGATCTGTCAAATCAGTAGAACTGTACTACAGCAGACAACCTGTTGCATTCTTCTCAAAGGAAAGGACATAAATCCTTAACAAGACTTATAGGGTTCAAAGATAATGAAGGACTATCTTCTGATTCGTCCTAAACAAAAAACAAACACTCTAGCACAGTGGTTCTCAACCTGTGGGTCGGGACCCCATTTGGGGTCGAACGACCATTTCACGGGGGTCGCCAAACAATGCAGTCCGCCATTTTTTCCCCCTTTTCCTTAGCTGTGCTACTCCCTTTTATTCTATTGGCTTTTGAAAGCCAATAGAATAGACTCTCTTGAATAGAGTCTAATTCTATTGGCTTTCAAAAGCCAATAGGAATTGTCCAGGCTGTCTCTGCCCTGCTGAGCTCGCCAAAAGTCCCATTCTGCAAATGGTGCTGCACCAGTTGAGTAGTCCTCGACTTACGACCGGTTGGGGATCGCGGCATTAAAAAGGTTGAGAACCACTGCTCTAGCACTCAGTAAGAAGAAAAAAGGCTCTGTGATGATCAAAAGATTAAACTCTATTTTTCTCAATCCAATGCTTTTCCTCAAGCATTAAAGCAACCATATCCCCTGCAAGGCTCATTTTAGCCGGTCTGAAGGTTTGGGGTCTGTAGGAATTCTTAGCAAAGTGGTTGCTCATGCACACCCACACCTGAGGACAGTTGAGCACAACTTTTGAAAAAAGCAGAGTGAGCTTTACAAAGGATGCACTGTTTTAATACTTCACACAGGGGTGCGTCATCAGGCTTAACATGTTTTGTGAAGCACCCCTGCTGAATGCTTTGAAGAACAGCCCTAATATAAATCTGCACATTGTATTTAGCCTCCTGAGAGAACAAAGATTCATTCAAAGGCTACTAAAAATATCTGATCCAGGTTAAACATGTCTGTTCCCCACAGATGCCCATTCAGGAAACACAAAGCGTCTCAAGAGCAAATCTTCAGAGGAAACTCAGGATAAGGAAGGTAGAAATAATCACCTTCTTCCTTTCCATGTGTGGGATGCTTTTATTAGCAGGAGGAAATCCCAATCCAAACAAGAATTTGGTTAATGTATGTTATGTATATATGTTATGCTTGTATATATGTTTTTATTTATTTATTTATTTGAATTTGTCTCATTGCAAGCTGGCTTGTAGCTTTGTCTACAGGTAATCCTCGACTTATGACCACAATTGAGCCCAATATTTATGTTGTTAAATGAGACAGATGTTAAATGAATTTTGCCCCATTTTACAACCTTTCTTGTCATAGTTATTAAGTAAATCACTGCAATTATTAAATTAGTATCACAGTTGTTAAGTGATTCTGGCTTCCCCATTAATTTTGCTTCTGACACTTGGCAAAAAGTGATCATATGACCCTGGGACACTGCAACTGTCATAGATATGAGTCAGTTGCCAAGTGTTAGAATTTTGAACACAAGACCAAGGGGATGCTACAATGATCAAGTGTGAAAAATGGTCATAAATCATATTTTTCAATGCTATTATAGCTTCGAATGGTCACTAAATGAGCTGTTGTAAGTCAAGGACTACCTATATAAAGTTCCAATGACTCCATTGATAACACGGAGACATCCATAAAAACCAGACAAAAAGAATGTTGTTGCTTCCCTTTTGAAACATTTGGCAAGACATTTTTCTGAAGATGTTTATCCTGGTTTAATAAAAGCTATACAATTGGAACAATGCTATTGTCTGCCATAAATCATGTTAGAAAGGATAATAAAATGTCTAACAATAAAAAAAAATCTGACAAATGCACCTATACTAACTGAGTGCTTTATAATAGAAAATCAGGTATTCACTTAATATTAAACTTGATAAACAAATATTTCTCTCCAACATGACTTTCTAGATTACTAAAATTCTATATCTGTGGAAGCTTTAAAGTCTTAAAAGTTATTTAAATACTAGACAGCTTTTACACAAAATTTACTGAAACATTAAAACTACAAACTTTTTTCCTCAGGAGAATCCATCAGAATTAATCATTTTTGCCTTAAACTGTTCAATAGCTGTATTAAAACTCTTGAGCTCTAAAATGTAGCTATAATGTGATAATGTGTTTTACCCTAGTAGGTACCAGAGAACTTAAACAGACTAAAATTGGAGTTGTTTCTCCTTAGATAAGGATGGGCAAATAGTTTAAATATGGCAGTAGGTAATAGGTTAATACAGATCATGAATTTATGATCCAAGCAGACTGCAAGATAAAATATTGATAGAAGAGAAGGAGGAGCTGATGTGAAAAGAATGATTTTAATGAACAGCTATTATAAAATAAATTTGATTATAATTAAACGTTAAAAGAAAAACAAGCAGCTGCACATATGAACAATACTCAAGAGCTTTTATCATAATATCACATACGTTGAAAGTATATACATAACCTCCAAAGCCATCAGTGAAAGATAAAGGGAAGCTACTGCTCCTTCAAGGTTCATGTAAAACAATGTTTCTCAACCTTGACAATTTTAAGGCATGTGGACTTCAACTCCCAGAATTCCACAGCCAGCAAAAAACCCTCTTCAGTTCAATATTTAATAACAATGAGGACTTCCAGGGAAGACATGGCAAACTGAAGATGGGTTCCACTGAGAACGGCGCCAACAACGATGGTAGAATGAAGAGCTGGCAAATGGATTCCTCTCTGGATATGGAAAGGACTTGGGATTGCCCACAAGTATTCCCAATAATTGCTCCTCATGAGGAGACTTCAAGAAAGTGGTTTCTGGCAGATTTAGAACTGAAAAAATAGCCACCTATACCCACATTGTGGTAGCACCTTTAAGGACACAGACTTTGCATGCTTTCTTTCTTAATCACTTTTCATTTAATCTTTCCTGCCTTGGGCAACAGGTTGGACTAGAAGACCTCCAAGGTCCCTTCCGACTCTGTGATTCTATGATTTTGGAAATTGCTTGTTCATTGCTTTTAAGATATTAGGAACTTCAGCATGTCAGATTTTACCAGCCTGGGTGAGTTTCTTTTAAACCTTTGTGAAACAAGATTTAAGTACAAATTTAAGCACTTTAACATTTTTCTTTTTTTGAGATAAACAGCAATTAGGAGCTTGATTTTGGAAAGTTACAAACAAAGGGTCCAGATGGATTTGAAATAAGTTACAAAAAGCTTTCCTGCGGAAAAATGCTGTTGTTTTGAATAACACACACAAACACGTGCACAGACGTTGCTTATTATGGGAAGCCATGTGATCATGGCCCACTGCAATATAATAATCACAAGCAGGGTGCCAAGCACCTGGATCGCAATCACAATCACAACAACTGGAACTCTGAAGACCCATTGTAATCCCTTTCCTTAATGCCATCATAATTTGTACACTCACTGAATGAATGGTCATAACTCAAGGACTATCTGTACACTAAAATCCTCAAGGCACGTTTGCTTGTCCAAATATACTGCAAATGTAGGTGTAATAAAAAGCAACTCTAAGGATATGGGAAAGGGAGGAGAGCTACTGCTTGCATAAATAATGGGGCTGATTTACCTATGTTTCATCACTGATGGTGTTCTGTCA